TATTCAGCGTGCAGAAGGCTCCAGGGCTATCTTACAGCACTTTCCAATACCTGAAGTGGGCCTACAAAAAGAGAGGGAATTTTCACAAGGGCTTGTAGTGATAGGGTAGTGAGGCACTGGGAAAGGTCACCCAGAGAAGCTGTGGCTGCCCCATCCCTGGGAGTGTACAAGGCCAGGCTGGATGGAGCTCTGAGCAACCTGATCTGCTGGGGGGCATCCCTGCCTACTGCAGGGCTTGGAACTGGATCATCTTCAGGGCCCCTTTCAGACCAAACCATTCCATGATCCTGTGATCAGGACAGAAACACCACCCAAATCTTCCCTGAAGTGCAGCTCCAGAGTGCCCTGCCCCACACCAAGCACTTGTTTAAAACTCAGACACAGGGGGTACCATCCTGGCATCGTTCCAGTTACCCACCAGGCAAAATAACCTTACAGTGGTTTGGCTGCAAATAACTCACACAAACAGCTGCTGTACTAATAATACTCAGGGCTGTGTAATTATAATTGCTGATGATACAGAACTAACGACCTAGGAAAGCCTTCCATGTGTCACTCACCAACAGGAGGGAGATCTCCAAGCCAAAAACACCAGCAGAGCTTTCTGCATGAGCAGGAAGGAAAAGGAGAGGGCATCAAAGACCACAGCATGGCACCAGGAGATCTGAGAGCCCAAACTACAACCAACCATCCACCCAAACTGGAAGAGGGTGTGGGAATCTACACAATTAGAGGGTTTTGGGAAAGCTGCAAAAGGCAGGCCACAGAGGCAGTAGGACTGTGATTAGAGCTAAGCAGCAGCCATGAGATAGGTCAGCAGAAAAATTATTTAAGGACAAATAGAACAATGGTCTGTGTATTAACACTTGTCTGGAATAATTCTCTAAGCTACCGAAAAGTTTATCTAGCAAGATATTAGGAAGTTTGAAGCTTAATAATGGGAGCTCTGTGCATTGTGTTTTAAGGCTTACAAGCAGGTATTGTATTTGAAATAAGCAAGCATTGTTTTAACCAAAGGTACCTGTGCTTATGGTAATTGGATAGAACTACTGTCAATGTGCTTTTGCTTTTGCTTTGTGTGATTGGTCAAAAAACTTATAAAGTAAGTTGTAACACTGAGTTCTTAGTCTGCTGCCTGAGATGTGAGCTGCTGGCATCTTCCCATTGTCATAACCATTTATTGAAAGTGATGCTGGAAAATACAACAGCTCAAAGCACGTTCCAGAGCAGCCCCGTCACGTTTGTGATTTGTACACAGCCCCCAGCCAGCATCAAAGGACATTTTTATTTCCAGATGGGCTCTTCCCACAAGCCAGGACTGCATACCCAGCTACCCTCACAGCATCACAGCAGCCACCCTGCAGATGCTCTCAATGTGCCTGTAAGTCACATGCAATGCAATTTTGACACTGCAATGTGGACCCTGGGCTTGTGTCTAGAGCTGTGCAGGAGGACTCCAGGCTGGTCCCAACACAAAGGCTTTGAGGGCACTAGGGAGTACAAAAGAGAGCAGAGCTGGCCCAATCTTTAAGACAACCATACAAACAGTGAGTAATCTCCCCAACATGGAGTTTCAGACTCTTCTCTGCGTGGAAAATGAAACCTCTAGGCAAGCTGGCCCTTGTTTACACAACTTCTCTCAGCTCACCTATCTCTAGACCATAGTTTCCTAAACAAACTAAGGATGAAAGAGACCGATTCACTTTCATAGTGCCCGTTCAGATAACAGAAACCACTCAGCTCCAGCTGGAAGCAAAAGACAGAGCTGTGCTGGTCCTGCAGGGCCTGGGTGCCTGCCCTGTGCCAAGCAGAATCCCAGTGCCATTCAGAGCCCTTCACTTGAGGAACCAAAACAAAAGGGAGGGTACAGGAGGCACAACTATGGCCTTGGTGTGTATCTGCCTTTAATTTCTTCAGCACAGTTTGCAGAAGAGCTCGATGCACTGGCGCTGGCACAGAGGCTGCTCTGCAGGGATTTGCCCAGGAAAAACAAGGGACCCGTGTGCTCTGGTGAAATTAAGGCATTTACAGCGGGATGCTCAGCAGCACGCTGTGCTCTGCTGGTACAAAAACTGGCACAGCAAGCAAACTCAAGAGGTTGTGGGGAAAACAAATAAAAACACAAGTGCTTGGTGTAAGACCCGCAGTTCTGGGGATATCTGGCAATGAAAGGCTCTGTGAGAAATGTCATGGTCCCCAGGAGCGCTCTCCATAAACCAAACCCTGGCGAGCCAGACCACAATTCCTGACCCCCTCACTGATAAAGGGCAACCCAGCCGCATCAGCCTCAGCTGCTGGGCAAGCCAGGAAGGGGGAACAAACGTGAGGAAGGGGGAACGAACGTGAGGAGGAAGCCGAGGAGCCGCAGCCGGAGCAGGGGAGGAGGAGGAGCAGGTCAGGGCAGCGTGAGGGCAGACAAAAGGAGAGGCAGCGGGAACACGTGCGAGCCAACGCCGCAGCTCGGCCCCGCACCTTCCCCGGGGAAGGAGGCTCTGGGTAACAAAGGCCCGGGCAGGTATTTCCCCTCCGGGACAGCAGCTTCGCCTCCAGCCCCGCCCGGCAG